AGGAAGAAGCAAATTTTTTTTTTTTTTGGGTCCAGTCATGGGGCCTGAACTCTGGGCCTGGGCACTGTCCCTCAGCTCTTCAGCTCAAGGCTATCACTCTACCACTTGAGCCACAGCGCCACTTCCGGCTTTTTCTTTTTTTTTCTGCTTATGTGGTGCTGAGGAATGGAACCCAGGGCCTCATGCATGTAAGGCAAGCGCTCTACCACTGAGCCTCCTTCCCAGCCCAGAAGCAATTTTTTTAAAGTTATGAAACTGTGTCAAGGAGTAACTAAGCATTTTTTAGTTTTGAAACCACCCTTTGTAAAACCAATAACCACACACAACTTAGAATTGGTTTCCTCCTACTCACTTGACCAATGAAATCAAGGCAGAAGACATTTTAACTACAAAGTTTCATTTGAAACTTTCAAATTCCATTCAAAGTATTAAGAATATACAAGTTCTTGGGGCTGGGAAGGTGGCTCAGTGGTAGAGTGCTTGCCTTGCATTCATGAGGCCCTGGGTTCGATTCCTCAGCACAACATAAGCAGAAAAAGCTGGAAGTGGTGCTGTGGCTCAAGTGGTAGAGCACTAGCCTTGAGCTGAAGAGCTGAGGGACAGTGCCCAGGCCCAGAGTTCAGGCACCATGACTGGCAAAAAAAAAAAAAAAAAGAATATACAAGTTCTTTTACTGAATAATGTAATTTTTCGGAAAATTGTCTATATTCATAAAGGTAGCTAAAAGAGACTTATTACCTGGGAATGTGGCTTAGTGGCAGAATGCTTGTCTAACATACAAGAAGCCCTGGGTTTGATTCCTCAATACCACATAAAAAGCTGCAAGTGGCGCTGTGGTTCAAGTGGTAGAGTGCTAGCCTTGAGCAAAAAAGAAGCTAAGGGACAGTGCTCAGGTCTTGAGTTCAAGCCCCAGGACTGGCAAAAAAGTAAATAAATAAATAAATAAGAGAGACATGGGAGAGGGAAAGTAGGAGAAAAATGGAGGAGGGTAAGAATTTTTACAAGAACTGTACTCACTACTTCACGAATGTAAACTGTAACCCCTCTGTACATCACCTTGACAATAAAATTAATTTTAAAAAAGTTTTATCTCACTGCAGCATTTAAAAATTACAATTGTAATTATTTATTTATTTTTGGTCATTAATGGGGCTTGAACTCTGGGCCTGGGCGCTGTCCCTGAGCTCTTCAGCTCAAGACTAATGCTCTACCACTTGAGCCACAGAACCATTTCTAGTTTTCTGGTAGTTAATTGGAGATGAGAGTCTTTCTTGCCCAGGCTGGCTTTGAACTGCAATGCTCGGATTGCAGCCTGAGTAGCTAGGATTACAATTGTGAGCCACCAACCCCCAGCAATTATAATTATTTAAAAAAATATAAAAGTCCAATAAAAGATGGGATTAAATATATTAAAAGGTTAAATACCTAATGTATTGAAATGGAAAATGTTCATGATATAGTAAGTGAAAAAAATCAAGTTATAAAACTAAAAAACTGTTCATTCATTTTATGTGGTGCTGAGGAAATCAAACGCAGGGCCTCATGCATGCAAGGCAAGCACTCTACCACTGAGCTACCTTCCCAGCTCCGGCTCTATCATTTTGAACCACAGCTTTACTTCCAGTTTTTGAGTGGTTAATTGGAGATAGTCCGATAGGGACTTTTCTGCCCAGGTTGGTTTCCCACAATCCTCAGATCTCAGCCTTCTTAGTAGCTAGAATTATGGCCGTGAGCCATCAGCACTGGGCTTTTTTTTGAGGGGGGGGGTCCGGTTGTGGGGCCTGGGCGCTGTCCCTCAGCTCTTCAGCTCAAGGCTAGCGCTCTACCACTTGAGCCACAGTGCCACTTCTGGCTTTTTTTACTTTTTGCTTATGTGGTGCTGAGGAATCGAACCCAGGGCCTCATGCATGCAAGGCAAGCATTCTACCACAGAGCCACCTTCCCAGCCCTTAATTATCTTATTAAGAAAGGAAAAATTTTAAAAATCATATAATGTTGATCACGATTAGTGGAATTCCAGGTAATTTAATGACATATTATTTGTTTAATTGCCAATCTGGAAGGAGAAAAAAAAATCCTACTTCCAGAATTAATGGTAGAACTTATTCAATATGCATGCAAGTACAATAAAGATGACCCAATCAATCATCTTAGCAAAATAAATGCATTAAACAAAAGAATACTGGTTAAAGATAAGGGTTGGGGGTGTGACTCCAATGGTAGAGTATCTAGCAAGTATAAGGCCCTGAGTTTGAATTTCAATGTAACAACAACAAAGACAACCTAAAAGACAAGTGAAAATAAGAAAAGGTAAAGTTTGGTGTGCCAGGGACTCATGCTTATAATCCTTTTTAGAAAGCAAAAACTGAAAGGACTGTGATTAGAGGCCAGTCTGAGTAACAAGTGTGTGATAACTGATCTCAACATGATTAAAAAGCTAGGTCTGAAGGTGTTTGATATCCTAGTTATGATTTTTTAAAAAAAGTGAATTAGAAGATATCAGTCTGGACAGCTTGGGTAAAAAGCTAGATTCTAGCCAGGCACTGGTAGCTCACCCCTGTAATCCTAGCTACTCATGAGGCTGAGATCTGAGGATCATGGTTCAAAGCCAGGTCAGGCAGGAAAATATGTGAGACTCTTATCTCCAATGAACCAATAGAAAACCAGAAGTGGCACTGTGGCTCAAGTGGTAGAGTGCTAGCTTTGAACTGAAAAGCTCAGGGACAGCACCCCACAACCAACAAAAAGAAGAAGAAGAAGAAAAAAGCCAGATTCTATCTCAAAAAACACCAGAGTAAACAGAGCTGTAGATGTGACTCAACTGAGAGTGCCTGCCTAAAATTGTGCACTGTAGCTAGACATAGGCCTAGTATTTGAGAGGTGAAGACAGGAAGATCTGAAGTTTGAAGCCTGCTTAGTTTACACACCAAGCTCAAGACCAACCTGAGCAACTTAGTGAGATCCTATCTCCAAAAAACAAAAAAGCATAGGAAGGGCTGGGGACATAGGTCAGTGGCAGAATACTTGACTAGCTTTGACTCTCCATGGTACCAAAAAAAAAGTTTAGCTTGTGAAATGAACCAACCCTATGAAACCCACCTTCAGTGTTCAATGTCCCATCCACATTAGTGTGGCACCACTGTATTGTTCCTACACGTTTTCCTCAAAATAAACTCAGATACACATGAATGGAGGGAAAAAAAACAAAACAGAAAGGAACTAGGGTGAATCACCAAAAATGTTTTAAGACTGAAATAAACCATTGGAAACCATTAAATGCAGCTGAAAGAACTGGTTATTTTCATAATTTGTATATATAATCTGAGAAAACAAATACCCAACTTTATGCCATATATCATTATCAATTTAAAGGTTTCTGAGATTAGATTACAATTGGGTACCTTTCACCCTCTTTGAAGAAGCCAAAAGAAGATGATCTTCAGGTAGGATGTGGGTAATGATACCAATAGCTCTTTCTGCATGAAATCTGCAACAGATAAACAGAGTGTGGCATTTCCTTTTAGTTACAAATCCCTTAAAATGCCCCCCTCCCAAAGTAACAATTTATAAAATAATGCTGATGTAAAGTACAACTGAAATGTAAATAATCAAGTTTTTGTTTTTGTTGTTTTCTGCAGACTAGAGCCTCTCACATGCTAGGCAAGTACTCTTGAGCTACATCCCATATCTCTAAGTGTCAGTTTACTGTTGTTTTAAATTTCCATCTGAAGTAGACTAAACTTTGTTTTTGGTTGTTGGTCATGGGGCTTGAACTCAGGGCTTGGGAGCTGTCTCTGAGCTCTTCTGCTCAAGGTTAAGGCTCTATCATTTTTTTTTTTTTTGGGTCCGGTCGTGGGGCCTGAACTCTGGGCCTGGGCGCTGTCCCTCAGCTCTTCAGCTCAAGGCTAACGCTCTACCACTTGAGCCACAGCGCCACTTCCGGCTTTTTGCTTATGTGGTGCTGAGGAATCGAACCCAGGGCCTCATGCATGCAAGGCAAATGCTCTACCACTGAGCCACCTTCCCAGCTCCGGCTCTATCATTTTGAACCACAGCTTTACTTCCAGTTTTTGAGTGGTTAATTGGAGATAGTCCGATAGGGACTTTTCTGCCCAGGTTGGTTTCCCACAATCCTCAGATCTCAGCCTTCTTAGTAGCTAGAATTATGGCCGTGAGCCATCAGCACTGGGCTTTTTTTTGAGGGGGGGGGTCCGGTTGTGGGGCCTGACCTCTGTCCCTCAGCTCTTCAGCTCAAGGCTAGCACTCTACCACTTGAGCCACAGTGCCACTCCTGGCTTTTTTTCCTATGTGGTCCCGAGGAATCAAACCCA